ATTTTTTATTTATTTTAATTTATTTATTTACTTATTTTTTTTTCTATTGTCTTATTGTGCGTTTTATCAATGCTTTCCCTTTAGAAGGATGATTTTCCGCCCAGGCTTTGGTATACATATCATATTGTGTGTTTTGTGTGCGTGTGTGTGGGGTGATGTTTCTGATTGATTCTGTAATATTTCATCATACTTTCTTTAGCCTGCTATGGTTGTTTAAACTTTGATTAATAATGTGGTTATGTGGTGCTTAGCATTGAATTAAATTCTTGAAGGTGTGCTTTTTGTTGGAATTTTTTATTTGTTCCTTTGAGGGTTAAGTTGTTAGGATGGAGAAAAAAGAATTTCCTTGCGAATCATTCTTTTATCTTTACTATGAAAAATTATTGTTTTTCAGTCATTGTTCAATTTAGGACTCGACAGTTGATGAAATGAGTTCGGCAGGGGATTCAACGATTAACTATTGTGAGGAAGTCCAGGATTTATTGAAATATTTAAATTCTGATGATTGCTATAACAGTGCTGATGATTGCTATAACCGGAACTTTGATGACATACTAGAATTTACAAGACAAAAGCAAGAGGCGTTGTATGACGATATAAGTATTCAAAACGAAATGGGTCGTGAACCTTCTTTGGCATATGTGAATCCCGCTTCATGTAAGATCATTACAATTTCTTTTGTTCTGCAACTGTTGTTTGCAACAATCTATTAGATGATAGAGGCTGCGATCTTAGCGCCGTTTTCAGATTAAGCATGAAGTGTTTAGGGAATAATGGTGATTATTATGATTTTGTTGGTAACGCAGACAATATTTGCCCTGATCCAACGGCGCAGAATACCATTACCATCAAGGAAGAGGAACCATGGGAAGACCAGATTGAGATGGAATCCTTAGTTCCAGGTCCATCGAAGCCGAAAAATAACTTGGAAACGAGAGATGTACCTGGAAGTGAATGCGAATTCAATCCAAAAGCAAGGAAGTACAATCTGAAATCAGAGGTTTGTTTGCTGAGAAGTTTACGTTTAAGCTTGCATTTGATTTTTCTTACTCAGTTTTTATTAAAGAAACCTTTGGTTTTTTTTTTGCTTTCAAAGTTAAATATTCGGCTTGGACTTGCAGGGAGCTTTTAAACTAATTGTATTTAGGAGATAAAAAAGACGACAAAATATATAGATGCAAGAAAGAGGAATAATATTGCTGTACGTAAATCTCGGTATAAGCAGAAGGCGCTTCAAGCGGAAAGAGATAAACAGCTCAAATATTATAAGGAACTCAGCGAAAAACGTGAAGAGGACTTGAAGCAGAAAAATTTGCGTATTTCAGCACTTGAGGAAGAAGTTACTGAATATCGTAATTTGAAAATGTTATACGATAAAGTGGCAAAAGAAAATCGTCAGCTGCGGCGTGAATTGAACTCTAGGAGCGGCCCGCAGATAAACGGTGTAAATGGGGATGTTTAATTTCTTTATATAATTATTTGTTAATTTTTTTTCATCAGCCAAAGCTTTGCAGCTCATTTTTTCCTCCATAATTTTTCCTGTCTGTTCACTTCAGCACTTTTGAGTAAATAGAGTCTTTTAGGCTTAAAATATAACCAGAATTTTATGGATGATTCTTGTAATTTCTGGTTTATTTTTTAATGTCGTTGCATTAGTTTAGGATGAAGAATAATTTTTGTCTGCTGCAAAGAAATACAGTTTTTGTCGGACGTAGTTCGATTTTTACACTTGTCATTATGTTTTTTAATAATGTATTTGTAGAGTTGTGCTACTTTAATTATTCCTTACCGGTGGAAATTTGTTTTCGTATTACTGGTTTTAGGTATTGAATATATTTTTGAGAAGGTTGACTTTATTATTATGTATCCATTCTTGTTGAAATTTTCATGATTTTCATTTGTAAGTAAAGACTTTATACAAGGAATATGTAGCAACAGCTATATTCCCAGTTACGGAATATAAATCCTGGCGACTGTTTGAGAGTTTTCAAGCACTTAATTAGGTGATTCATGAAGTCACGTGGCCCTGTTTTGCAGGATTTAATGACTGCAGTGAGAGGGTAGAGGGAACTCACTGGAGGAGTTGACAGTTGCAGTGCGGAAGGAAAAGTGGGTTTACTTGGCAGACATAGTGTTTGTTTGCTACAAGTGGACAGGAGCCTGGTTAAATGTGTGTAGGTGTCAGCTGCGGCACTAATGACCAGTTTTCAATTTATAATTGGTTGTGGAGTATATCGCACGCTACGGAGTTATTTTTTTTTCAGCCGCTTGTTGACAGTTGAAGGACTAGAACTGTTTGAGTTCTTTTTTTGATTCATTTGGGTGCATTGTGAATACTGATCACTGTTTGATGAAAACGATATCATGGTTTATTTTTTCTGAGTACAAATAAGTTTTGTTTGAAGCATATTTCGTCCTGCATTTTCCTTCTTGATTGATTTTGTAGCTGTGCATTCAGCACTTGTGTGAGAGGTCATATCAAAACTGCAGTCGTTTTTCTTTTTTTTGCTGTTTTTTCCTTATCTTTATTTTCTGCCTCCTGATATGTCGTCGTCAAGCAAGAGTTCGGCCTTCCACTGAGTCGTAGTCAAACAACTGTCCAGGATATTAAAGTGGGAATTAACGCTTCCTGATAAGCTAGTTTTGATGGATTTCATCTAGAAGGTTTTGTGGTATGGTGAACATCAGTTCTGAAAGGAACGAAATTGTGCATTTGCAGTTATGAACCCATTCCTTTCCTCGCTTCGCCACTTTCTATCTTTTATTTAATCTACAATGTCGAAATACATTCGCTGAAAACAAAGTAACATTCTTTTGTTCGGGCTGTTTGCTCTCGATTTTTATACTGAAGGATATAGGGAGCAAGCTATTGATAAGGCTGACCAGAAATCAGTGTGGTTACGTTTGAAATAAATAAGTGTAGTAGTAAAATCCATCTTTATGAGATTGTTTTTTTTGTTTGTAGTATCTAGTTTGAATTAAAGGCACTTTGTGAAGTAGGTTTTAGAGCATTTTAATGGAAAAAAATTTTTTTGAGAAGACAAGCTAGTATTAGTTTGTTTTTGATACGAGTAGCTACCTTTATTTTGCTGTTTTATTTCATAGTTTATGAGTGCTACTGGAAACTGGCGCAATTGTACAAGTAAAGTAATTCAAAGTAAAAATGGTAACTGTACAGTGCTATTGATTACCAGGCTGTCTGTAAATAGTTTCTTTTTTTTTTTTTTCTTAGAACTCAGTTACAGCTTGTAATATGACTGGGTACACCATTATTACTCATCTGAATCAATTTGCTTTAAGTCCTTTTTTGATGAAACTGCAGTGAAAACTGTTGCATTTTTATTCATCGAAAACGCTCAAACTGCGCGACAATTACAGTATAACATATTTGTGACGACTTGTTTATTTTTGGCTACAAAGTTCTTTCTGCTTAAAGTTGTTATGACTTTAAGTGTTCAGCGGCTGATAGATGAATGTTGTTGAACTAGGCTGTTTCAGTTTGAAATTTAAGGTGTACAAGTTGAAGGAAACTGAGATTTTCAAATTTATGAGTATGCTTTTGATTCTATAGAAAAAATAGCATAGTGACGCTGTAATAGAAAGTCTTAATGATACGGTAAGTTTTCTGTGGAAATTATTAGCTGATTGAGGTGTGCCATTATTTTTTTTTTCAGTTTTTTAGATGAGGTAACAGACTTTGGGGCAGGATTTTGAGGTTGTTTCTTAGCGTTGTAACGTGGGACAATATTTCAAGCGCCGGTTCAATATTTCGTTGGATTCTGGTGGTGAAGCACCTTGAAGGGTTTTTGTTTCTTTGCTTCTTTCAGGAGCTACTTCTTGAACAACTGCATTAGGAACAATATACTTCTGTAAATATTTTCGGAATCTGCTCTTCCTGACCGAAATGCCTGAGTAGCTCAGCTTATTAGAGTCGTTAAAGTGAAGTAGTTTTATGCATCTATAAGAAAGAGTTATAAAAAAAAGTCTTCGCGTTATAATTTAAAAATATTCATTGGATTTCTGGAAGCGTTTTATACGTAGGCATAATATGGCTGAAGCAGATATGACTGGTGCTTATTTATAGGTCTTGATATCTAATGAAAAGGACATGAGTTGTATGAGTGACATTAAAAATTATTGAACTGTTATGAAACAATATTGAATAAAATTAATAAATATTGTCATTTAGATTTCACTGTTTTATAAAAGCAATAAAGCAAGTTGTAAACTTTACCACATCTTGGCATTCTATCACAGGTATTGTTTTGAACGCCACCGTAGTTGCGGTGATATCAAAATTTGCTGAATTTTGTACATCATTGAACATAGAGAAGTACAATTTCATTGAAGTACATATATATTATGTATATTATTACCTTGTTAATGTGTGTTGGCTGGTTTAGGTGGCTAAATTTATGAACTGCAAAGGTACAAAGTTGTTTTGAAGGTGTGAATTAAAAATTAGAACAACAATTTGGTTGTCTGAGTACAGCTACCATATTTCAGAAATTTAATAGAGTAAATTATGTTGAAAAAGGTTTTTGCCATGTGAAAGAGTTGTTAAAATGGACAACGACAAATGGACGTAAAAGTGGTTTCTTTTGAGAGATGACTAAACATATAGACAGTAGCAAAAATGATTTTCTGGACTGATTACGAGTTCTTTTTTTTTTTTGCACCATAGTGACTGGTAATCGGTGATGAGTCATCACGGAAACTCAATAGGCAAATAACATTTATTCAGATGATTGTCACACATCTTTTCAAAAAAAAAAAAAATTTACTTCTAAGCTCAATAACAATTACACCATTCAAAATTGTAATGGTTTAAGTTACTGCTCAATGGAGACTATCAGTTGTTTAGGAAATAAAGCAACGGCAATTGTTAACAGTTGGGGAATATCATCTTAACTATAGCTGTTGATGAGCGCTTAAACCTAATTCTCTGACACATTTTTGTTGGAAAATTTCATAAGAAAGCCGAAGTAATTTTCTTCTTTTTCATTACTTTATTTGAGATAACATTATTTGTTTTGCAATGTATGCAAAGAATGGTTAAAAAATAACAAGCATCCAATTTTTTTTACTTGAGTTATTTCTCGGTAACAATAAGTCTGTTCTATAATAAGCAGATTCTCAACGATGGCTGAAAGGTGCGGGAAGGGGGGGGGGGTAATAATTGAGTTTCTTCACAGTTTTGGTAACTACTGGTTATCAGTGAAGTACAAACTAAGTTTTTCTTTTTCTTCTTTTCAGCTAATTGATGGAACAGTTTTTGGTTAATCAGAAATTATTTTAGCTGTTTTATATTTGGGAAAAAAAGAGCTTTTTTTTTTTTATAATATTTTAATTGTTGCAGCAATACTTTTATGAACTTTTTGTAGACAATTTTTTAACTGTTTAATGTCTATAGTTTTTTTTTTTTTTGTTCTTTGGACACTATAGAAATTATTTATGTGTACCATACAGTTTATAAGAAGTTATAAAACCAGTTGTTCATTATTTGTCAGATATTGTTCTTCCTATTCCTCCTACTGTTTTGTTGGGAAAAGACAATTTTTTTTCACTGCTGTTGAATTAGTTTATTTTTTTCGGGGTAAACAAATGAAATTTAGGTGTTGTTAAAAATTAATATATATATTTAAACTTATAGTGCAGGTTTATTGTCAGAATTTTGAAGATTCAGATAGAATTTTTTTTTGATTTCAAATTAAAGAAAAGTACAGGAATTAGTGGAAGAAAAAAGAAAAAAAAAAA